CCAGGTTGCTCCAACCTGGCCTTGGACACTTCCAGGGATCCAGGGGCAGCCACAGCTTCTCTGGGCAACCTGTGCCAGGGCCTCCCCACCCTCAGTCAACAATTCCTTTACAATATCCCATCTAAACCTACTCTCTGTCAGTTTGAAGCCATTCCCCCTTGTCCTGTCACTCCAGGCCCTTGTCAATAGTCTCTCTCCATCTTTCCTGTCAGGTCCCTTCAGGTCCTGGAAGGCCACAGTCAGGTCAGCCCAGAGCCTTCTCTTCTCCAGGCTGAACAATCCCAATTCTCTCAGCCTTTCTTTATGGGAGAGCTGCTCCATCCCTCTAATCATCTTGGTGGCCTCCTCTGGACTGGCTCCAACAGCTCCATGCCCTTCCTGTCACCCCCAGGCTCCTCGTGCTGAGCCATCCTCCCCGAGCCAGGAGCATCCACAGGGACAAGGATGATGTCCCCAGCCAGGTCCCTTGGCCGTGCTGCACACGCAGAACAGACCAAAGCCACGAGCCCTCCAGTGCTCCCAGACCCAAGTGACCTTCCCATCACCCAAATCCCTGGATAAAACCACAGCATCGCAGCACACAGTCGCTTCCTTCCAGATCAAACTCCACAGACACAGCAAACAGCCTTGAAATCTCTGCCTTTTTTTTTTTTTTCCTCCCCTAAATTAAATTTTCATTTAAATGATCAGATTTAGAGCTCTTAACTCAATTTTTCCCAAGCCCGGGGCGGGCTGGAACACCAGCATTTCCACACTCCCTGACAGTTTGACACCAACAAGCACAAAGCAGCTTGTTCTCCAAATCTCCAGTTTGATCTAAATTAAAAGAAGCAAAGACTTCGGCGTTAACCAACCTGTCAAAATGCATTAACAATAAAATGCCTCCCAGGCCTGCCTGGTGCTGGCTCCCTACCTGCACCCCATGCCCTTTGATTGCCTGCCATTCCAAACCCAGCTGACAAACGTGTCCCCAAGGAGGGCTCTCCGCCTTCACTTGTAATTTCCCCCGCGAAAACCCCAAATTCAGCCCTTTCTGGAAGATTTATTTACATTTCAATCAAGCTGGAGCTCCTCAGCCATATGATTCCCCAATAAAATGCAGAATGCTGGGATTAGTTCTGCTTCACTGGGGTGCTGGGGTTGCCTCCTGCTCCGTGCCAGCTCCTCTCCAAGGGGCTGGAAGGGCTCGGAGCAGATCCAACCCCTCACCACACACCACAGTGCTCCCCCCTCTCTCTCCCCAGCACCCACTGACCTGTGCTGGGAAATTCCATTAAGGAATGCCTGGTGCAAGAGCTGTCATCACCCATCTCCCTCTAAGCATTAAGAGCTTTGGAAATGAGAGGTGGAAATAATAAAAATAATCCATCAATCACATCTCTTCAACCCTGTGGTTTTTGCAGCCTATCTAAGGGGGAAAGGTGTAATTTTGCTGGCAGGCTGCTCTCTCCAGAGTGGGATGTTCCAGCTGGGATTGATGCTCCAGGAGAGGAAACCTGGAGTCTCCCCTCTCCGCCCTTGCTAAGCTGTTTTCTCCTTGGGGGATTTCGCTCCCCCTGCTGCTCCAAAGGCAGGATTAGGGATTTACATACAGGTGTGATACCAGCTGGAGCTGCAGGGGCCCAGCCCACACCTCCCAGTGCTCCCAGCACCACCAGTTCCTTCAGCACCACCAGTCCCTTGTGCACTGGGAGTTGGGGGGAGGCACATGAAGCTGTAACCATTATTTCCTGCCAAGGGAAGCCTGAAAAGCTACATTTTCAAGGCACACTGAGACAAAGCAAGATAAAAACAGGACAGTGAAGACTCACAGTACTGTCCCATCCCTAGAAGTGTTCAAGGCCAGGCTGGACAGGGCTTGGAGCAACCCAGTCGAGTGGAATGTGTCCCTGCCCACGGCAGGGGAGTGGAACAAGATGGTCTAAGGTCCCTTCTAAACCATTCTAGAATTCTCCAACCGGCCCCAACCCGATTTGTCAGGGAGTTCACCTTGTTCAGGAACACTTTGGACCAGATTGACTGTTTCCTGGGAGAAATACAGAGTAGCTTCCTATGGGACCACAATCACCCTGCTCATCTCAGACACAAAGAAACAGAATGGACTAGAAAAATATAAAAATTGACATCAGTCCCAGCTGGGAAAAAGCACCAGCAGCAGCATTAAAGCAGCCATTTGATGGCCTGCCCACAGCCATCCACCCCTAAAGCATCCCTGGCCACCAGAAGTGCCGTGGGATGGAGAGACCTCAGCCCATTTTGCAGCCCTGAGACATCCTGAGCATCTGAAGTGCTGTTATAGCTCTCCACACACAGACATCACGTGCCCCTCCGGGCATTTAGATCATGGTAATGGGATATAAATATCTTATAGCTCTGAAAATGCCTTTTCACAAGGCTCCACAACAGACCTCAGCTCTCCTTCTTCTCCCTAAGTCAGGCTCTTCTGCTTGGGTGGCCAATCTCAGCACCTAAAAAGCACTTTCTCTAAGTCCCTCTGTGAGAGCCACCCATGTCTGCTTAGCCAAAGAAAACTGGATAATTTTAGTATTTACCTGGTTCTTGGAAGTGCTCTTCATTTGACAGGGTTCTGGATAAGATGAGGATAAGTGCTTCTTTAAACTGATCAAAGTGGACCTGTGGGGGGAAAAAAAAAAAAGGAAGAAAAGAAGAAATGAACTGGTGCAGATGGTTAAATATGAGGGCAATAATCCAAGCAAGGAGATGGGCAGCAATGGATATCACTCAGACCATGCTGAAACATGAGTGCCTGTGTCTGCTGACAACAAAGGAATCTCGGTTCCTGCAGTCTTGGAGCCTGGGGAAGTGACAGCAAGGGACATGAAGACACAGTCAGAGTCTTTGGGCATCTGGAAGAACTTATTGCTATCACAGAATGACCCAGAGCCACTGTTTGCATGCTGTTGGTTGGGTTTTTCCAGCAAGCAAGAAGCCAAATTAACATGTCCAAAGGAGCAGGGAACATCTCCATTGCTTGAGGTGACCTGGCCAGGGTCAGGGATGATAAGGGATGAGAGATCTGGTCATGGAAATGCTCCACTGCCCTAATTAAGCTTCAAAAACCACTGGATGGCAGAAAACCCACACCCTTTCCAGGGCAGTCCTGCCCCGGCTCCCGTAGTTCCATGAGAGCTGGACTGGGAATACCAGGTCTGGAGCGTGGCTGGGAAAACCACAGAGGGATGATCCTGCCACTGAGGTTTTTTTTTCCCCCCCTCCCTCTTCCATCTGTGCCTTCCTGGAAAGCCTCCTGCCTCACGGCCACAAACAGTCACAAAGGGGCTCCAGCTCCTTCGCAGCCATGCCGGGGAATGTCAGCAATTCCAGCCGTGGGGGACGGAAACCCAGGGACAGCTGGAGAAGCCATTTGACATGGGTCAGTGGTGAGGCAGAGCTGGCTGCTGCGATTTCTTTTGGCTAAATAAATCTTAGAAGAATTTTTAGCGTTGAACAAGAGATTTTGTATTTAAAAGAACCCGCTGAGGCTGCTCTGGCTGAAGTCGATCGCTGCGAATCCAGAGCCACAGAGGGGATTTTAAATGCTGCACAGGCAACAAAAGTTCATGTTTGAAGTTCTCCAGCTTGTTTTTGGGGTCAAGCAAGCCCAAAAAAAGGCCAGCAAGCTCCACGGCAGGGAGGGGACACAGGTGAGCCATGGGGGTGCAGGGGAGCACCTCGCTCAGGCAATGCCAATCACCCCCGTGGTTCTAAACATTTTTGAACACGTTTTTTAAGCACAGTTAAAAATATGTTCAGCAAAGAAACTCGTCAGGGATGCCTTCATCTGAATGCTAATTGCTGCCATCCATTTCCAAACGCTGGTGTACTTCCAAAGGACAGTTTACAGAGAGAGGAGAATTCCCCCGATTAAAAAAAAAGCAAACTTGACATTTAGACTAAATGAGGATGAATAAAAGATGAGGGCGTTCAAGTAACAGGTTCTCTCCCCCTGGGATCTTCTCAGGAAGGGAACGGTGACAACAGAGCTGGTCCCTCAGATGGGTGCTGGGGCTGGCTGGGTTTGGATTAATAAAACAAAAAAAATAAAATAAAACTCCCTTTGCATCACTGGTGTGAACACAGTGAATTAAACAGAGTAAAACCACCTGGGCAGGTGTGCTGCACCACCTGCTCTGCCCAACGAGCCCATAAGTGGTGTTTGCATTAATGAAGAGGAGGAAGGGTGAAGGGGCTGAGCCCTCACTCAGCTGCACAAGGGACAGATGGCCCCGGCAAGGCCACAACAGAGCAATTTTACCATGACCACGACATCCAAAGGAGCCCCTGGAAGGATTAGGCTGCAGGGCAGGACATGGCCATCCTCCAGCCCCCCATGCCAGCGCTGTGCTTGGCTGCACAGCAGGATTTAAAATGCAAATCAGCAGCAGAGGGACAGGAACAGGAGTTTCCCCCTTGCGCCTTCCCAGAGGCAGGACCCCACTCTGGAGGTGGAGCCCCAGCTGGCAGAGGGGGAGATTTTTCTTCAGGATGGGCCAGAGGTTTTTTTTAACAACAGATAACCAGGAAAGCCAGTCTCTGTGGTGCATGTCTGACCTTGAATGTTGCACATTTGCACACAAAGAGTGCTCAGAGAGTTAGAGAAATACAGCTGATAAAATTAGGAGCTGGGCTCGAGTACAAGGCAGCCATGGAACAGCAAAGCCACAAAAGCTGCAGAAATCCTTGAGTGAGGGTGGGGAGGCCCTGGCACAGGCTGCCCAGAGAAGCTCTGGCTGCCCCATCCCTGCAAGTGTTCCAGGCCAGGCTGAACAGGGCTTGGTCTAGTGCAAGGTGCCCCTGCCCATGGCAGCAGGGTGGAACTGGATGATCTTCAAGGTCCCTTCCAACCCACTACATTCTGGGATTCTATTTTGGAACTGCCAACTTGTGCATCTGCTCGTGGGGGTCTCCAACAGCAACTCGAGGCTGATCCAAACCAGTCCCGAACGCAGAAGAATTTGGGATGTGATGGCACAAGGTTTGTGCCCACCCAGAGCTGTGGATAGCAGGCCCCTGCAAACTCACCCAGCAGAGCCCTGAGGGCACATCAACCCCCAGGGTGAGGAGAACTTTCCCAGGACAAGTAAATCAGAGGCAAACAAGACTAAACACCAACGGAGGCAGTGCCAGCCCAGCCCGGCCTCCCCACGGGAATCAGGGACCAACCAAGCTGTGGCTGCTGAGCAACCTCAGCTCCTCAGAGAAATCCCAAGCCTGCTTTGCAGCCACTTCCCTCTGAAGCCGTGACTGATTAGCACTAGAAAGAGCGTGTGCACAAGGTACCTGCTGCTCCCCGCTGTCTGCCCCTGCCATGCAAAGCAGTTTGCACACCCGGCCTCTCCCGGGCAAACCGGCACCGGTGGCTCCTTCCAACTCCCTTCTCCTTGATCTTCCAGCACGGTCCTATTCCCAAAGCTCTGCCCCCCTTTGCAAATTCCTGCTAGCAGAGGCAGCCAGAAGGTTGCAGAGGGAAGCGTCTAGTAGGGAAGACGTAGAATCATGGAATGTCCTGAGCTGGAAGGCACCCACGAGGATCATCCAGTCCAACTCCTGGCCCTGCACAGGACACTCCAACAATCCCACCCTGTCCCTGAGAGTGTTGTCCAAGCACTCCTTGAGCTCTGGTAGCCTTGGGGCCGTGCCCACTGCCCTGGGGAGCCTGTTCAGTGCCAACCACCCTCTGGGGGAAGAACCTTTCCGGGATATCCAACCTAAACCTCTCCTGACACAGCTTCACACCATTCCCTCTGGTCCTAACAAGGCAATCTTGCAACAACATCAGAATAGGGCAGTCTTGCAACCTTGCACCCAAGCCTCCTGCGTGGCCTGCAAAATTAAGGGGAGCACACAGCACATTAAGGGGAACAGCATCACTGCGGGCACAGAGGGAGGATATTTTGCAAGAGGTCACCACCCACAGCACTGAAGGGAGCTGATGAGTGAAACCCCACACTGTGGTGTCCTTGCTGCAGGCTGTTAATGCAATAGTGCAGCTGAAACCTGAGCTCCCCATCCCTGCTCCAGGATGGTGCCAAGGACAGTCCCTGTGCAGGGTTCGGAGGTGCCCAACTTCATAGAAACCCAGAATGGTTTGGGTGGGAAGGGACCTTAAAGCTCATCTCCTTCCCACCCCCTGCTGTGGGCAGGGACACCTTCCACTAGACCAGGTTGCTCCAAACCCTGTCCAATCTGGCCTTGGACACTTCCAGGATGGGACATGACTTCCAGGGACTTACCACAATCCCTGCACATCACCCAACCACAGCCCATGTGCACTGTCCCCAAAACACCCTGAGTTTGCTGCTAATTAAAGGGCACAGAGAGGGCAGACAGACAGACACACCTGCACCCGTCCTCTCGCTCTCACCACCAAGTGTGAGGGGCCTGAGGAAACAGCCCTCCTGAGGAATCCCAGGAATTGCTGCGAGCATCACCTCCGCACACAATCCCAATAGGAAAACAGTTCTGGGGTGGTTTGGCTCTGCCACGAGTCAGGGCAGGATTTAATCCCCCCACCAGAGCCCATTAATCCCCAAAGCACTGCAGGTATCCAGCCCCTCACCAGCTCAGCTCCCGGTCCAACCAAGCACTCCCTGCCCACGGCAGAGGGTTGGAACAAGATGATCTTTAAAGTCCCTTCCAACCCAAACCATCCC